GTGGGTTGAAAGCAAATAAGAGAGTGGAGAATGTTTTGGTGGTAGAGAGGATTTTAATGCTAATGTGTGTGGTGGTTTAGAGAAGCTAGAGTAAAAGAACAGAAAGGAAGTGGAGAAAAAAAGTTACTGTGAGAGAAACAGTAACTCCTTTTTGCTGTGCTCCTTACTTAGCACTTCTTTGGAAGCAGTCTTCTCTTAATGGTACTGCAATTGATTAAAAATAAACCTCAGAGTTGTAAGAAGAAAACAAAAATCTTTCAGTCTTTTTAGAAAACGGTTTTATGAGGTCTTTTTATTACTTAGCCTTATGAAGCAGTGCAGGTATCTCTCTTCAGTACCTATTTAAGCTGTCTTTACTGTTCTGTATTTCATTGCTTTTATGTGCTTAGTGGGGGAAAGGATCCTCTTAGAATTATGAGTTGTGTGTTTCCCTTCCTCAGAAAAGCTGGAGAAGTTTATAGGTAAGTTATTCAAAATAAATTAAAAGATGTGGGGTCGGCCCAACCAGACATGAGTTTTGTGTTACTAGTTACAGAGAGTAGTTAGTTTGACTCCTTTGCTATGGTGCATTGCTGAAGGGAGGATTTGGCAAGTTGTGACTTAGGAGGTTTGTATGCTGAGAGTATTTGTATCCATTTAGTATGTATAAGTTACGCTTTTTGCTTGTCAGGTAGTTGTTTTGCGAATGTTTAATACAAATTTCATAAGAAGGGAGAAGACAGTCTTGTGACTAAAGTTTGGGGGTTGTGAGACTGAAATATTACTGGTGAATATAGAAATTTGCAAAAGCAGGTGTGCTTTGCTGATGATATGGAAGATCAGGTAGAGAGAGCGTGAGCTCCAGAGGATGACCACAACAAATCAGCCCGTTTTTATCAAGAAACTGGGGTTTGAGCCAGATAAGGGAAGAAGCCTATTATATCCCTTACTCAGCTGGCTCAGGTGTGAAAACTCCCTTCTGTGAGGAAGGTGTCAGACATTCAGACTTAGCCCGAAGGTATTCATCCCTGCTGGTGGGGTATAACTAGCTCCACTACGCTGACTTGAAAGGCAGCTGTTGTATCTTAGAAGGTGACATAAACCACCCAGGCCCCAGACCAATTTCTGAGGCCTTCCACCGGAGAGAACTGCAGGTGATCCACAGTGTTATATCAGAGAGTGTTAATTTCTGTTCCTTTCTTGGAGATACCTGGGCATTCCCACCTGAACCTGAGCATATGATAATACATTTAACTTTGCGCTTCGTGGGATTTTCCCTATGGATCAAGGTTATGGCTATCACTTTGATGTGGACATCAAAATTGCTAGTCTTGTCACTAGGTCCATGGGTGGTGATGCCTTTCTATTCTTATCCTTTCTTTCTGTTTTTCTTCACCTAACTTCTGGAAGTATATTGTAAACCAGACAAAAAAATTCCAGTCAAGGCCTTAGTAAATGCCCTGTATCTGCTTAAGTTAAAGCTGGCTAAATTAAAGTTTCTGAAGTGCCTTAGTTTGTCTGGATTTTGCTTGAAAATTTGCCAAGTACCTAATTCTACCTTAATGTTCTGAAAATTTTCATGTAAAGGTTTGTTATTGAAGATTTTTGTTGTTTCTCCTGTACACTGCTGTAAATGACTCAACCAACCTTTCCCTAAACCCACTGAGCAGACCAGGGCATAACAGGACTGAAAAGAAGACCCCTTTGAATCTGTCCCTGTGCTTAGAAAAAGATTTGTTGTGGGACATATCACTGCCATGTGCTTCCATGTACTTTGCTTTTCAAAGGGATACTCCTCTCATTAATCATGCTGAGAATAAAGTAATTCATGTGTGCCTGGTGCCTTGAAATTTTAAAAAAGTACATGTGCTCTGTGTTGTAGTTACTTTGTCCTAATTTAAAAGTATGCGGTGGGGAGGTGCAGTCAGTCAACTTTGATAAGTTCAAATCAGTGCTAATGCCTGGTTCACCGTCCTACCGGAATCTTGAAACATGGTGTGTACTAGAGAGATGGTAGTAAGTGGAAACAGAGGAACACCTCAGGTGCTTTCTAACTTTTTGTGTCCTCCAAAGTAAATATGTCTGCCAATGCAAGCTAACTTATGTCTGCATGCCTAGAGATAGGTATTGCTAGATAAAAGTACTCCCAGTGATTAGGCACCCATGTACCTAATAAAATACAATTTCTCTTGTTTGCAGAATAGGATTCAAGTCTGATGTGTCCTTTGAATGCTAACATTTTGTTAGTCTTCTAGACTGTATTTTTGCATTAGAATTTGGTACCAAAAAATCAAAATTTACAAATGCTAAAGTCCCTTTCTTGAAGCTCTTAAATAAAGCAAAGTAAACAAGCTTAATATCTTTTTATCAATACATTTTTAAAAGATTGGGGTTAGTAATGAGTAGTGTTTAACTTCAGTATAAAGTACTGTAAAATTAATATTAATGAGATATGTAGTTCTATAAATGCAGATCTGTACTTTGTATTTCATCACAGAAGAGTGTTTTAGCATGTGTTGGTCTGTCTATGACACCACAGTTGGACATTTGGGGAAGTAACTCCCTGTTTCAGGTTTATAGAATTTAAAAAAAAAACACAAACAAATGAAAAATTAATTGCCTTTTGTTACATAATGTGTTAGCTGTACTGTAATCAGCATCAGTATTTCCAGTCGTTGCCTCTACAGGTGTGATAGCTTTGAAAACCTGTTGGCACATATGCAGTACGTTAGTATGAAAGACACACAAAACACACAAATGCATGTTTCTCCTTTTCCCTGTCTTCTGCCATCTTTTCATTTCCCCTTTTAATATTTCTTACTCTTCCCTTTTGTTGTCCATTTCCTCCTCTTACTTACATTAAACACTAAAGATTGGTGTATGATGGTCACAGTCTCCGTAATTGTTAGTGTGCAGTTCTGTCCTTTGTTTTTGTGTCTTCTGTGTGAGAAAGCCGAGGAAAAGGGTCAGTACTCCTGTCTTCCATCCTGTCATGTTATCTCTTTTTCTTTGTTTTTTTCTTTTTTTTCTTTCTTTTTTTTTTGGGCATTGTTGCTTAGTTTCTCCGCAGCTGCAGTTCATGTTTCATGCTGAAGCTCTTTGGTCCAGGGTGCATTACTGTGTGTTGTCCTTGTTCATCATCTCTGTATAGGTCGTAAACATCACTCAGGTTTCATTCTTTTTAGCAGTTGCCACAGTTGGAAGTATTTTGTTTCTAAGACCAAGGTTTGAGAACTGTGGGACCTTTTATGTCTAGGAAATGGCTGCTGTGTGAAAGACAGAACCAACCAATAAAGCCAAATTAAATTCCTGTTATTAAAAATTAGGAACTGGGAAGAGCAATTACATATTGGGGGGAAAAAAGTATGTACAGTATCTACATGCACTTGGCAATGTGTTTACACAGATTCTTCTTATTTTTGTAGTTTTACATACTCTTAGTCACAAAAAAGCCTGAGAATAGAGAACTACAGAAATGTCTTGCATAGTTGTTATGCCTTGGCAAGTGTTCCTTAGCATTACTGTTGCTAGGGAATATCCAGAGGCATTTGAAAATATAGTTTAAGAGCCACCCCAAGGAATGTTGTAAAATTGCAGTTGGGTACCATCCTCCTTTCTTAAGGTGGTCAGCATATTCACCTCCTGAATCTCATTTCTAAAGCCCTTAAGTTAACATTCTAAAATGATCACTTTTGTGGGTAGGATTTTAGATACTGGTATAATAAAGACTACATCTAGTAGGGAAAAAAAAAAAGAAAAAGGACAAAATTCTAGAGATGATGGTTCTTAATTAGAAATGTAAAGGCTTATTCTTGATACCTACTCTGTCTTTACTCACTTTTCTCCATTTAGTAAACAATATGAAACATTGCATGTGTACCCTTTATTTTACTACGGCCTGTGGTAGTAAGTTCATTAGTTTCTCTGAGTACACGAAATAGCCTGGACCCAATGTGACCTAAGTAACACATTCTCCTGATGGATCAAACTCTGAAATTTTATACGAGCTAATCTCTATAAACATGTATAATGTAAGAACCTGTGTGTAACTTGCACTTGCAAGCTTAGAACATTTAAAAATAAATAAACCTACATGCTTAAGACTTCAGATACCTAAAAGTAAACAATACAGAACAGTCTGCCTAATATATTCCTCTAGTAAGTCAAATGGACTCCAGCAGTTCGACTAATGTAGTTGTGTAACATATGTGTTTCCTCTATATTTTTACTTTCGGTTCATGCTCTTGAAATGTACCTTTTGAATTTTTAAAAAAAGTTTGTAGGGAAGCTTCTTTTGCAGTTTATGCAATTTAATTTGAACCTCTCTGCATTAAGGTTATTTTTTTCTTGGCTTGAATGCTGCTGTCAGTCTCTTCCAAAGTGCCCTATTAAAACATCTGTTAACCACTCACTGGAATTGCAAACCCTATGCCTTATGTTCAGCATCTGAATAGAATAGGACATCAGATGTAGATTATATAGGACTTCGTGACCATTTGTCATTTTAATTTGTGAGTTCTGTGTTACTGCATTATTTTCCTAATAATGATTGCAAGTAAGTGTAAGAACATGTTGGTGACATTGGTCACTGGTTTGTTTCTTCTTTCCTTAATTCTTTGTCATTTGACAGATTTGATATTAGTAATAAAAGTAACGAACAGCATGTATGAGTGTGTGAGGGTATATGTGAGTGAAATTGCTCTTTTCCTCAGAAATCAATGACAACACTTCTGTTGCCTAGTGAGCTATAAGGACTGTGTTAAGTGTGCAGAAGAGGCTACTTAGACGTAACTGATCAGGTGGCCAGTTTCCTTCATAACCCATGTTGCTGGGCTTTTTAACTCAGGTTGCTGAGTCTTTTCATCGTGATTTTCTTTGATAGCACAAATTCATTCAGCAACCAGCGTTAAGCTCAAAGAAATGTAGTTGGATTTAAGTGGGCTGCATTTAAAAGCATGGTACTGGTACTGATTTTTTTGTTTGTTTGTTTGTTTTTTTTGTTTTGTTTTGTTTTTTTTTAGGGCAGGTTAAAGTATTCAGGGCCCTGTATACGTTTGAGCCCAGAACGGTAAGTACATCTAGACTTCAGCAGTTTGTCCATAATATTTCTTCAATTCTGCTATTATTGGCATATTAGACTTACTATACTGAATTTTTAATGAACTGTTGATGGATAGTCAGTCTTAATGTGAATAAAACTGTCTGATTAATCATCAGTCTCTTTTAAGGACATCTCTGTTTAAAAGCAGCATGTTTTCTACTGTAGGATCAGTTACCTACAATCAAAAATCAGAAATCTTGAATAATTTGTTTTTTCTTCCAAAGACGGTAATGATAGTTGAGACCTAAGAGATCTGGAGAACTGGGACCAACCAGAAAGAGTTCCCAAATGACGTTAACAAACCTAAGAGATATTTCACTGCTTCCTTTGTGCAGTGCTTTGTTGGAAAGGCCACAGTCTTCCTGTGTTGTCAGGAAAGTTACTGATCCAGAAAGTTAGCTGTAAGCAAGTCAAATTATGGACTGTCAGGCTATTGTCTTGGTGATAGAGAATTTGAGTTGTCATTCTTTTGAATGAAGTGATGAATGTATTGTGACTTTTCCAGGCATTTGTTTTTCCTACATACACACATTCAGATTTATTTATTTGTTTACTTTTTTTTTTTTTTTTTAAGCCAGATGAACTGTACTTTGAAGAAGGAGATATCATTTACATCTCAGACATGGTGAGTCTAAGACATCCCACACAGACTGAATAGTTCTGAGATGCAACATATCCCATAAAATATTTTCCCTTTTCTCTGCAGAGTGATACAAACTGGTGGAAAGGAACTTGCAAAGGGAGAACTGGACTAATTCCAAGCAACTATGGTAAAGTCTAGAATATTTTTATTTGGTAAAATCATTCACAATTAAAGGAAATCACTAAATAAAAAGACATCTCAAAAATGGGCTACAGTATTCGTACTTAGCAGTATTCCACCATGTATTTCAGAATACATCCATCTGCAGTACCAGTAACCACTGGTAACTACATCAGTTGCCAGTGGTAACCACTGTAGGTATGACTACATCAGCAGTGGACAAGCTGTCTTGTGTTTTTATAACGTAGGGACAGCTTGAGTTTGCTGAGTGCTTGTGTTTCTGGTTATGCTCTTAAGAGATACTGAGATACTCTCAGTTTTGAGGGGAAGAACACTTGGATGTAAAGGATTGTGGTTTTTTTAGTGAATATATTCTGCCACAGAAAACATTGGTTTCTTGGGATTTGCACCACGTTAAATATCCCATATTTGTTTGGACCGAATAGAGACTGCTTTTTCAGATTCAATGAAAATCACTTTTAAAAGCCATGAGTACAGACAACACAACACAATTCCTCCAAGTCCTGCCAGGAATCGTAGGCAGAATAGCAGGGTCTCATGACAGATTGCATCACAGCTACCGATATGACTTCAGTTGATTCATGTTGTCCCTTCTTCAGCAGGAGATGTTATGGTAGCAATGCTGTTTCCCTGCCTTGTAGTTAGTAGGAATATATTAATAGAAATCTATGGTGTAGTCATTGAGTCTACATCAAAATTCACTTTAGTTTGTGACTTCCAAACTGACTCCACTCTTGCTGTCTGCCAGAGATCAGAGGTCATGCACTGTTAATATGCAAGAAGACTAATTTATACATGCTGCATATCTACATTCAAATTTCTTTTGAATATTGAAGTGAATATTTAAAATAAACCAAACAATCTATTAATTCATGGTCCCATTGACAGTATTGGTAAAGCTTCAGTTTTAGACCAGGGTTGGGGTGGTGTCTGTCTGCACATTTGCAAAAATTCCATGTATAAGCAAAACAGAAGCTTTTGCAGACCTTAAGAACAAAGAGTACTAGGAACACATCTTCTGATTTAGACCAATAATGCAATGTGATGCTGTTTGAAGTTTTCACAAGGTTTTCTCTGAATTAGTTTCCCATACACTGGAAATTAAAGTGCATCTCACTAGTCTGTCACTCACAAATATCTTTTCATTTTAGAATCAAATATGTTTTGTTTCCACGCAGGTTTCAAGTGCGTGTTTCAGTAGTTAGAATTTACTCTTTCATTTCAGTGGCAGAGCAAGCAGAGTCTATTGATAATCCACTGCATGAAGCGGCCAAACGAGGTATGTTTGGTATTTTAGTTGTGTGATTCTAAAGGATGATTTGCTTGTTTTTTACTCTAATAATAGTAATAATGATGATAATAATAAATTTAGAATGAAGATGTTCTTCCTGTTTCAGTTGTCTTGTTTCTTGAGCAAGTTATCTGTTTTACAAAGTTTTACAGCTTTGAAACGGTGAGATACTGCCTGGTGGAATTGTCTGTACACAGAGGAATAGTGGTATCACCCATTGAACTACATAGGGTTATAAAACTCTTTTGGGAAGGGAAGAAAAGATAGTTGGTATGGGTTCTTATGACTTTGTCATGATTTGTTATGACTAGGTATGAGTTGTTGTTCAGTGAATTAAATATACTGCTGCTAATCACTTCCTCTCTTCATAAGTTCATGGGAGGACTGATGGCATTTACAAAGTACTATTTACCTGTAATGGTTCTTTTAACTTTCCAAAGAAAAAAAGAGAATCAAAACTGGTTTTGTCTTTCAGGCAACCTGAGCTGGTTGAGAGAGTGTTTGGATAATCGAGTCGGTGTCAACGGGTTAGACAAAGCTGGAAACACAGCTCTGTATTGGGCATGCCATGGAGGCCATAAAGGTATCAGAGCATTAATTTGAAATTATTGTTGTCTGGTTTTCTTGTTATGCTTGTTAGGCTGATGGATTAAATTGCAGTGCTAAATAATAAAGCCAGGTGTTTTTCAATGTAATTCTATTTTTTTCTTTAATAAAAATCGGGCTAGCAGGTAGGTTCAGCTCCGTCAAGTGCTGTGTGTTTTGTTGTTGCTGTTGAAGCATGCATGCTCATTAGTGTAACTTAGAGGTAGAGTGGAAGAAGGACAGATCAAAAAGAAATGCATTATTATTTGGGGTATTTCATGCAGAAGCATTTTTTGTGACTAATTGTTTGCCCAAGGCAGTCTGATTTAAAGATTTTCATTAGCTGATTTGATTGGTCTTTCATTGAATCTTAACTACAATGAATGCAAAAATAGCATAGTTCCTTTCCACTAAATTCTTCTCTTACCATCTCTCCCTGTTTTCTGCAGATGTAGTAGATGTCCTGCTTACCCAGGCAAACCTAGAGTTAAACCAACAGGTAGGTTGAACCCATAGACCCTTAGAGTAGAGATGTGATGTTACTCACCCTTGGTAGAAGCTGAAAGTTTTTTTGCTGCATTTTAATCCTGTTGCTTTTCCCTCTAACTCCACAGAACAAATTGGGAGACACAGCTTTGCATGCTGCTGCATGGAAGGGTTATGCAGATATTGTAGAGATGCTGCTGGAAAAGGGTAAAATCTTCACCAAGGTTTCAACAGTCTGTGTACAGACTAGATTCCTGAATGTTGTTTAATTTGTATTTCTTAAGTGTTTCTGTATAACTCAGTTGCAGTCTTTAGCCAGTTCACCTGCCTGACTTGCAGGAAAAGTCTTGCAGAAAATTCTGGCAGCTGTTTGGAAGGTAGACATCTCACTGGTCAAGATAATTTCATCCTGTTTTACAGACAAAATTAGGCACTTAAACCCCAGAACAGCAATGACGTCTGCTTCTTGAAAAGCAAGTGCAGCCAGCAAGTTTCCTAAACAATTGTAGGTTCTGCAAGAGCATCCATAGCTTTTGGTCTGCTTGAGAAAGTCAGTAGCTCAGATTCCCTTGTCCATTACTGTTCTACCCACATTAGTGAAAGTCATATCATAATGGCATTGGTTGAGAAGTAACTGGGATTGTGATTCATGATTAAAATTTTCTTCATGAAGGGGCAAGAACAGATCTGAAAAACAACGAGAAGAAACTGGCTTTAGATATGGCAACGAATGCAGCTTGTGCTTCCTTGCTTAAGAAGAAACAGAGTGCAGGTATTTCTGATTTTGTTTTTTTGGTAATTTTACTTTTGGAGAATTAATACTTTAGCCAAATACCAATATACTGATAGCCATAAAAACCATTTGGGAGGTACATGGGCTAAGAATTGTTTTGGAAGGGCTTACTTGAGAGAGTTAGTTTAGAGCTATGATAGGAAGATGGTTTATCATATGCCATGATTCTGACTGCACACAAAATGCCACCTTGTATCAGCAAGAGGCAGTAGAGTTCAGAAGCTGTGAAAATACTAAGAGAAGAGATGAAAATAGAAGACAGACCCTTCAGACAAAATGAAAGCAAGGAGGGAAACTATTTTTAAAGTAGCATACCAAAAGGGACAGGGTGCAAGAATAAAACAATGTCCTGTCTTTCTCCATATGTTTGTCTGTTCCTCCAAACTTAAGCCAAATAAGCACCAACATATGATTCTCCTTTTCTTACTGCTAATTTTTTTTTTTTACTTTCTTATTTCTATGTGTCTCTGAGTGACTAACAGAGAAATAAAGAAAGAATGCTTTCAGGTGTTAATAAAATAGTCTCACTGCCTCCCGCTGTGTTTGTCTCTCCTAATAGCATAGTGTCCATGTCCAAAAGAGTTAAGGAGGCTATTTTAAAAAGCTAAAGACTGAATTGTTCAGTATTGTGTAACTGCTATTGCCTGTAGCTTTCAGGAGGCTGAAGTAAGGGTGGAAACTCTAAGTGAAACAAGAAATTACTTGAAAACACTGGCAGGGTTACAGTCAGGTTTGGTGGGATACACAGTACAGCAGTTGCATGGTCACAGGACTAGTGAGAACAGAGGGAATGCTAAGCTGTAGGAGCCTAGAGGTTATGGTAATTAAATGGAGGAACAACTGACTGCAACTTGAGAAGGCCAGGAAGAGCAGTTGCAGCAAAAATAGTGTTCTGTTCTTTGGTAGAGGTGAAATCAGGACTTCCCAGAAAACTGGCAAATTATGTCTCCCAATCTTGGTTCTTAAGGAAGCAGTTTTAGAAAAGGGCAAACATCCTTCTCTGTGTGTGTGTATGTACATATACAAACACACACACACATATATATAGACACATATACATACATTCATTCGTACATATCTAATACTTTAAATATGTATGTGTAATACATACTATTATGTATATTATATTTTCATAAAGTTATTTGATCCCTATTAGGAACACTTTGTTCATCTTTGCATGTTGATTATAGGCACCTGGTACAGGTGTTTTCTCTCTTGTGATGTCCTAATAATTACACTAATGTTTTATTTCCTGATGCTAAGTAACTAATCTACATAACTAATCTACTTCTTATCTACTTCTTCACTCCCTTTAAATTATCTTTGACTGATTTTTTTTTTGTCCTTAGTCACCTCATCTATCACCAGTCTCTGGTAATTTCACTCCCTGTCTTTTTTTCTTGCCTTGGTATAACAACTGATATTCTCAGTCTAACTGCAGTTTCAATGTTAACATCCTTGTTTGTTTTTCTGTCTCAGCTTGGCCTTTTATAATATCTCTGACACCACTGATCTGTTACTTTTCTTGCATTTGGTATTTTCTTGGTTATTTTCACTAATTTAACTTTTCTGTCTCTTGAGTCTGCATTTAAGTATTAAAGTTCATTTAAGTCTGGATGTGAAACATTGTTCTTCTTCAGAGATTCAGTTCTATATCAGCAGTCTTCTCTCTGTTGTTCCTGTTTACATATGGCTTCTATCATAGTCCATCTCTAAAACTGTTTTATTGCAGGAAACTTACTTTGTCTCCACTTCAATGTTCAGATTTGTTTTACATGTACAGACAGATATTCAAATGTCAATTACTGAAGTACATTCTAAAAAATTAAAATTATTAAAATCATGTCATAGAAATGCAAAAAGGTCATGTTAATTGTGCTGCTAAACAGGGGAGCAGAAGAAATGTACGGAAGAAAAGTAATTTGTACTTTCTTGAAATATGGCCCCTTGAGCACAGGGCTCTGCAATTTCTTTTCTTCTTGTTCTCCCTTTGCTGCTTCTCCTCCTAAAAGATGAGAAACATTTTTTTCACTTAGATTTCTTTTCTCGAAATGGTTGAGCAGGTTCATTTTTAACTTACTCATTTTTCTTGTTCCAGAAATTTAGGATAACATGGTTATCACTTCTGTCAATTATGTCCGTCTTGCCTCTGTGCCTGGTATTTTCAGTACTCTTTTTAAATTTTGTTTCTTTCCAGGTACAGTTCGAACATTGAGTAACGCAGAGGAATATCTTGATGATGAAGACTCCGATTAGCTTTTTTAATTCCATATGGAAAACTATAACTTGCATTGTCTGTGTTGTTTTCAAAACATATCTTCACAACTAAAAAAATATCACATTTAGACTATCACAATATAGCCTATTAATGAGAGGGTGAAAGCATGCTTTGCAAAGGAGTAATCTTCATGTAGCCAGACGATGCCACATTTTAAGTCAGAGTTCTTTTTTGGAATTATCACAGAGAAAGTGTGGCACACCTTTATCACTGAATATGGCAGAGGACCATCTTCTAAACTCACAGGTTTCATCTCAGGCCTTCCTAGTAAGTGCCTTGTATCTCTGGAATACTCAAAGGTCCCATGTGGGACAGCAGGACACCACTGCTAACATTTCCCCAAATCCCCCTGGGTATATGTTCCTTCATGCAGCTAATATAGGCAGTCAGTATTGGCTGGCAGGCATAAATGGAGATGCTACCATAGAGAGGGGCAATTGTTTGCCCTCATGGGAGACAGCATTGCAAGGTTTGATTTTTAATTTTGGTAAAATTTTTTCCCTTCCTTCCTCCGTCCCTCTTAAGTGAGGTGCAAAACGACCTGAGACAATCTGCCTCAGGAATGCTTTGTCTTCTCTATTGCTGTGGGCCCACTCCCTGAAATGTAACACAGGTGAAAGGCTTGCTTAAGTCAGGTTTGCTTTAGGAATTCACTTGGATTTGTGGCTTGGATATTTTACTTTTTGAACTGTATTATGCTGAAACTATTTGTAGTAAAAGGAAGACAGAATATTTTTCTATTTATCCTGTCTAAAATTTTTTAATACTGATCTTTGCTTTTATTTTTTGCAAGTGCTCTTATGTCTTGTCCTAAATTACCTCAAAGTTTAAGTGCATTTGAAGTAATGAGGGAAGATGTGCATCAAATATACCACAGGTATCTTTAGAAGAGACACCTGAAGCTGAATAAAGATTTTTAAAATGTATTGCTGCTTCCTGTGAATTAAAGAAAAATGGAAAATAGATTCAGCCACTTTAAAGCTTCCCTGCAGAGTTAAAAAGTAGTACTTCCTTCAGATTGCTCAAGTAGCTGTAGCCAAATGTTGCACATTACTGAGAGATACTTTCTTATTGTGATGGTAGTAAATGTTACAAGTATTTGAGATACAATCTCATTTTCAAATTTTTGTTGCGAACTTCTCTAATAGAGGTTTCTGACAAATTCATTCTAACACAGCAGTCTGTGATACTAAAATAAAACCAAAAAGCAGAGAAAAACAGGGACAAAAAAAAGCTCTTGTGAAAGACTGGGGATAAATGAAAAGCTCTTGTGGAAGTCTGGGGATAAATGAAAATCACACTAAGTATTTAAGAGATTTTAAAAAGTCTAGAGCTTCCTAATTTCCCATTTTTAAAAATACATTGAGCCAGATTTTTATTTTTATTGTCCTGCAAAGAACTAGATGCCAGTGAAGCTTGTTAAGCTCTTATCAAAGAAGGCAGTGTTTGATTGACCAGAACTGTTTAAGATGGGGACATTGCACAAGCAGTGATCTGCAGATGTAATTCTGGACTGTTTAAATGTTGAAACCATAGAACAAATGTTTTAGCCCTATGCAATACTGTGGTTAAATGAACAGTGATGTTTTATTTTGTGTGAACTTGAAGATCCTAGAGGGAAAGAAATAAAAAACAAATTCACCATTTATTCTCTCTAGCTTTCATTGGAACGGTTGTTGAACATAACTCATTATATTTAAGACTGTTCTGCTTCGCATTTAATCAGCCAGCTCTTTTACTAGCTCAGCCTTTTATCGTAGTTAAGCCATGTGTTATGCTGCATACTGTTGATTAAAATTATGCAATTGCAAAGTGCAAGCTTTAAAGTCCTGTAATGAGAGGCAAGAAGGTTCAGGTATCTGTTACGTGAGTCTTTTTCCTGCAACAACAAAGCTCACGAAATTTTTCAGTGTCACAGGACATGGAGGGAATGGCTCAAGTCACGGTTTTTTCTGTGTAGCTTTGGAGGCAGAGTCTGTATTCATAAATAATTCTTAATGTAATGTCTTCTGCTGCCACGGGTTCAGCAGCCTATAAGGAAGAGCTTATGCCCACATCTGTGCAGTTAACAGCTGCCAGAAGAGCCTGTGTTCTTCTGCAGACAGATCTAAGTGCTGCATAGGAATGGTGACAGAAGCACAAGTTGAGCCCAAGGATTGTATCCAAAGTTCTTGCCGGAGTGTCCTGAAAGGAAGCACATTTATATCACAGGCACCTAGGGAGTGCTGTCATTTGTCTCTAGGACAAAAATTAATGCTTTCTGTTTTTTCCCACAGCTTTGTTTTTCTTTATGAAACTGTCTATTCATATTGTGAAATACAAATCACTGTGAAAGCTTTCAGGCAATAAATTACTTTTTGTCTAACTCCAGGAGTAAAGTTTTGATTTAAAAACAAACAAAACAACACAACAGAATAATTACAAAAAAAAAAAAAAAAACCCAAAACAAATGTCTTACAGGTGGAAGAAATTACAGCTGGAGTAAGCTAATACAACATCTTACTGGTTATGCAAACCTACTTGTTCCTCCTACTTTCCCTCAATGTTTGTACCACTACAGACTTATTTAAATTTAAGACTTTTTCCACGGGCACGTACACTCAGGTGTGTAACAATAAGAAAAAGAGGAGATTTAGGAACAACAAATGGAAAGTTTTCAAGCTCATGGTATCTTAGAACTGAACATTGAAGGATTATTCTTCAGGTTGAATTAATGTGTGTTTTCTATTGAAAATCATCTGTGTTCCCATCAGGGAATAGAAATTGTTTTGATTGATATGAGGCTCTTTGAAACTAAATTAGTAAATTTTCTGTTGGCTTCATCAGAGGAATCAAATGCTTGATCCGTGTTTTATAGAAGGAAAAAATGGGACATTTCTTGCATTGTCTTTTGTATAGTTAATTTGATTCTTCATAATTTTCAAGTTAGTATACTGTATTTCTAAGACAAAGCCCATCTTACTGAATTCCACTCTTACACATTCCATCACCTGAAATGTAATTTGCCTAAAACAGAACAAGCAGAAATGGTTTTGGAGAACTTGAAACAGAAATCTTCATAAGAAATTAATTTGATACAAAATCAATATCCTAATATGCTAAATAAATAAAAAGGTAAGAGCTGGGTTGGTTTTGGTTGGTTGGGCTTTTTTGAAACCACACATTAAACCAACAGAAGCTAAAAATAAGATAATACTAAAAAGCAATTTCAAAAAAAAGTGATTTTACATCACTAGTTCTGGAACAGAATGTGGACTGGTGGTAGTGTCTGCCTGTGGCAGAAAACTACCAAGTGCCCATTTACTTGATGCCTGTTGTTTCCCAGCTGAAAGTTGATGCTGAAGATGATGTGTCCCACCTACAGCCTTTTCTAGAAAGCCACATCATTATTTAATCCTCCTGCCAAGGGTAGTGGTCTTCCTTTGGGTTCTGTGGAGCAGTCCATAGAGCACCAGAGAATTCTCCTGGAATATATATTCCTCTGTGACTGTGGCATTGCTAACCTGTGAGCAATGCCACTGGGAAAAGTAGTGTGGTGCAGCTAATGTTCACCCTCACAGTTACAAAACCAGCATTGTTTGCTGTGGTTGTGAGCAACTCCTGAAATCAGAGGCTGAAGGAATCTCTTGCAGAGATAATGGTAATTTAGGTGGGATTTTTTAAGTAAATGTGCAGCAGCACAGAACCTGGCAGGATGCCAGCAGTCAGATGTTAATGCGTGTCAAGTTTATGTAGCCAGGAAAGGGTCTGTAACTTGCACTGTTCCCTTGCAAGTTACTCTTTTCCCTGAAATTCTGAAGCACACATTAGAGTAAATGTCTGTTCTATTCTTTCTTCCCCTCTATCCAGAGATGGACTTCTAACTTTAAGGAAATTTATTGAGATTTAATATAAAACAGGTATGAAGACTCAAAGTGGCATAAAAAAATAGGATATTTAGAATTTTGATACAGTCATATTTCTGATTTGAAATCTCAAGCAAGTCTCAGGAATCCAGTGAAGATACATGGGCAACGGAGGACCTCTGTTGTTAAGCTCAACACGTACCTGTATTAGTTTTCTTAATTTACGTTGCTTAATAGAGTATATTTTTGCTCACAGCTTTGCTGCAGTCACACCACCAATTAACTTTATATCTACAGGGACATAGTGAAATTAATGACCATCTTCAGTCTGTCTTGACCATCTTTAGATATGCTCAACATAAAATTAGAGTCAAATGCTCATAATTTGTATTCAATTTTAATGTGTCCTTCCTGTTCAACAGACATGTACAGCACAAATAGTTTCATAGTGTTAGTAAATTACTCAGACTTTCTTAATTGAAAGCTCTAATTTTATCTTTTCGTATAATTTCCCTTTTATGGTAAAAGATGGTACACTTCATATAATCTGAAATTCATTAAAAACCAGTATGCTTCTCTATCAGTTTTTCACTTCTCTTTTATGCTTTTCCTGAAGATTTCTGTTTAAGCCATTTTGCTAGAAAATACCAGCTACATAGCTATGAGTTTGAAAAAGAAGAAGAATGAAGAAATTAAAATTATGTCAGGCCTACATGCACTTACAATGAAAGCAAGAGCAATAAACGTTTTGTTGACCAGAACATTGTGTTAGAGGTAGATTGAGTAGTGGGCATTGTAATTAAGAGAAACTTAAATTGATTAGAGCGTGCGTTAGCATTTACTTTAGCTTTAACAACTCCCATCTAATCAGAGAATGTGATTTCAGTTACAATTCTGTGAGTACTTTTCTAAAAGATAGTTTCCACATGGAATTTCAACAGTGGAGAGTTATGGCGTAATACAATTTCGAATAAATTTCATTCTGCTAAAAGATTACAGAGTGCTCTCTAGTCAGACAAGAAGAACTCAAAAGTTCAAATCACTTCAGAGGCTTAACCACAGCAAATATTTTCTCATCTGTTGGACAATGTCAGAAGAAGAGTTTTCATAGGCTTCTTCTAACTAGTGCTGAAAGTGTTTGAATTATTTCCAGTAGGTGTGACAAGATCATTCAAACTAAATGAGTTTGAAATGAAGAACCATTATTACAGAGAAAATAGGTTGAAAAGCTCTGGTGGGGCTCATATTTAATTAGGAGTCTTTTCCATTCATTTTTAATTGAAGCCAGCTTACACCAGACACAGCTTCAGGAGTTTTCTAACCACTTAAAGATTCTGGTTTTATTCATATTGTTTTAAAAAAACTCCAGTTCAGTTGTAGGTTTCTGTTTTATGGGCTGTTAGCTATTAATTAGCTGAGCTCTGGCTTTGTACTTTTCCTGGTTACACCAGCCTACAGCACCAGCTGCAGCCTACAAGCTATTACTCTTTCCATTTCAGTCTAGTACTCAGAAAGTCTAAAAACAAAATTTGAAGTTCTTGTGCTAGGCTTAGCTTTCCATTTGTTCAAACTGGATGTTTGTCTGAAGTGCACTGTAGCCATATCCTCACTGCATTTTAAAAGTATCTTGAAATTTTAAAAAAAGGGAAAAAATTAAAAAAACAAAGTTTTTAAAAATCTAAACTTAAGCCTAGAGCATAGAAACTCATGTTAGATGCAAAAAGGTGAGAGTGCAATATGGAATCTCTCTGGAAAAGCAATGGAAAGGCCCGCTATTTAAGTACCTACCCACCAATATAACAGCATTAGTTTTGTGTAAATCCATACAGACAGCCTGAAATTTTTCTTACCTGATTTTGTAATTAAAGTATGCACATATCTATTTTGGCTTTCTTAAATTTAGTTTAATTTAGTTTCTTAAATTACAGTTTGTCTGAAGTTACTTTATGATTTCCAGGATGCATTTGCTTTGGTCTTAAATTAGAAGAAAGAATTTCAGCCTCATATGAGAAAAGTAAAAAATATTTTTCATATATCTGGTGTTTATACATACCTGTAACTTAATGCTTGGAGATATGAGTTGAAAAAAAATCTGCTTTGTACTTCATGTATTAAGACACAAGTGGGAAAATTCTGCTTCTTACTAAGAGCTGTTGAGCATTACTAAAGTAATACTTCCCGCTTCCCTATGTGAGAAGACAGTTTGATCCAAACTCTAGCATGATAATATATTACTAATTTTTGTTCCTAAATGTCTGAGTTTTATTATTTAAGAAATAATTTTAATTTTATTTTAAGTAAAGTTATGTAAACTAATTATTTCTTGCATGCTGTGCTATGAAAAATGGTCACACATCTGACTTGATCTATCCAAGTGCATCACTTCCATTACCTTTTAAAGTGGACTTTGCTAATGAGCTAAGTGGTTTGGGTTTAAAGAGTAGAGCTGATTCTTTTGCTTTCCATATCAAGTCTCAGACCTCACTACATTCTCTATGCAATTCTGTTTTCTGTGTTGACCAGCCCCTGATCACTGTGCTGTACAAACAAACTCACTGTCTGAGTGCGGTGTCTACAGACGGGCTCTGCAAAGTGCAGCTGCAGCCAAGGACACTGAAGCTAAAGAACAGTGCCCAGTCTCTCGATTTCTGCTTAGGGATGATATAACCTTCTTAATATAAAGATAATTACATACTAAACAGCAAAGCCTGATTTGTAGAGCAATGTCCTGATTGGTTCTCCTTATAAAAATATGTTTATCATTTTCCTGTATTGAGCAGTTTTAATAAATATAAACACCTAAATTTACATGAATGTTTGATTACAGTGGAACTTGTTAATTTTGATCAAAAAAAAAGATCCAGGCACTTTGCAAAAATCTGTTAAACAATCCTTCAGTAGTTTACTTTCATTTCTCTAGATAAAAATGTCTTTGCCTACTTGATTGGTATTCTCATGATCTGAACTTGCAGTGAATGCAGAGCAGGATGTGTAATTAAGTGTAACCAATAACAGCATTTCCAGACCTAGAACAGAAGTCCAGACATGATCTGAAGTCAATCATGTTGTTTCTACTACTCTTACAAAACAGCTTTTTTCATGTAAAGTGTATAATGCTATATGTAAATACTTTTCTGTTTAGCCTAGGGAATGAAGAAGGAAATAAAAAAGAGAGGTAAGAGCCATGCCTTGCTTAGGTTTGCAGTTAATCAATTTCCTGCTCCCTCATGCTTTGAGATACCTCTCTCCTTAAGACAAGATAAAAACTTTTTTTCTACTAATTTTATTTCCAAGCTGTCTACCAATTACTAATGTCATTTTACAGTGGGGTGCATTTTTCTCTGATTGTGTATTCTCTTGCAGGTCCATTTTTCTGCTAATTTTTAACTGGGTGTGTTTTTGCCCTCCTACACACTCTGATGCATACTAGTACTGCAGCAATTCTTTTAAGCTGAAGCCAGTTCCAATCTAAGAACCTTCTTTAATAAATAAAAGTCCATTTGAGCTGTAGGATTATCTT